CATAAGAAAGGTGATTAAAAACACAAATAACATCAAATTGGCAATACCGTTTGAGTTTCCGAGAACCATGACAATAAGTTTCCGGGTCATTGGTACAGCCAAGACAAGACGATAGACTCGTACAATTTGGAAGACTGTCAGCCAGGCATAGGTTTCTCCAGAATTCCGAATTGGCGGGATCAGTATGATGGTTGTGATGATGGCGAGGCCCGCGTCGATGAGGTTACGCTTGCTCTTGTGAAAAGAACGCCAGCCTGCGGCGCAACGTATAATAATTTCAATGTCCAGTAGGATAGTGACAGCAACCTCGGCCGAGTCAATGAACTGCCCGCGTTCCTTGGACATCTTGGAACTCCTGAAGCACTGGGCCATGAGACCGAAGGCAATAACTGCAATCCAAAGCAGAAAGGTCTTGTCGTAGATTCGCTGCAGAGCAGGCACCTTCTGAGGTGGTTCGTCCATGGGCTCCTGGGCTGGTGGCTCTTCGGGAGCTGTGAAAGCACTCGCCCTACTTTCCTCTCGGATAACCTGGAAGGACGACGTGATGACCGCAATAAGCAAGTTAACGAGCCAAAGCATAAGAATCATGATGCCGGCGCCGAAGAAGAGAGCTGCGGGAAGGTAATCGGAGTTGGTTGTGTAGTACATGACGTCGGAGAAGGTGTTGGAACTGATGATAACAAACACCATTTCTAGTGATTGAGCAATATTGTCAAAGCTGACTGTGCCGTTGAATGGGTTGTCTTGCTGAAGACATATTGAGCCACGAGGACATAGGAAGCCTTTTCCGGCTTTGCTGCCGTTTCTGAAATTGTCCAGAATACCATCATTTTCCATCATGACCCAGGGCATGCTTTCTCCAGTATCGTTGTTAAGAAATCCTCCACAGAACTGCATATCGTTTGTGAAGGATTTCTCTTTGTTGGTCGGATCTGTTGGGTCAAGCCAGACACATTGCCGACTCAAACTGGCCTTGAAGCTTTGCACACCAATGATGGCAAACAATATCCAGAAGAACGTGATGAGGAAGGCGACTCGTACAAGCAGCGGCGCAGCCTTTTTCAGACTTCGAAGGATAATCTGAACTTTCAATCAGTGGCGGACTTATGAGGGGTATGGCAGGATTACTAACCGCTGTGCCGTTCGTCAAAGCAAGCAGTCTCAAGATACGAAGACACGAAATCATCCTGAAGACGTAAAGATGCTTCTCACTTTCGACGCCAGTAATTCTCAGCGCAAACGAGATCCAGTAGGCGACAACAGCGAGGAAGTCAAGCCTGTTGAATGAATGCCGCAAGAATGCTCGCCGGGCAAGTTGATACCTCTGCTGCTCCTCGACAGTCTGTGGCAGTGTCTGACCCTGCATGATTGTAAAGGACCGCTGGAATGCTGAGGGCCCAAGGTGAATTTGTTGTCGCGGAGCCTTGACAGACTTTTGCCGCTGAGGCTGGAACAAATTTCTGTACTGATCGACAACCGCTGCTCGGACTCCTTTTTGGCGATCGATGGTGCTGTATTCGGAAGCATTCAAGAGGAAACCGGAGACCAAAATACGAGCAATAAACTCGAGTGTGAAGATGATGAACAATACCAAAATCGCCCAATCAATCCAAGTGACTCCCCATGAGGCTGGCCGCGGATTCGTGAAGACATCTGGAGCCGATTCCACAGCCAAGAGAGTAGCTTGAAGGATGATGAGTATGAGGATGAAGGGCTCAGTAAACGGGTGCACCAGCAGATCGCATAGCTTCGTTCTGATTGGGTGAGTGGGAGGGAAAATGCCTAAAGACTTTCCTTTTAGAGGATTCTGCATCGGCACCCGTTGTTGCATGGAGGGAGGAGGGTCAGCGAAGACATTCTCCGCTTCGGGACCCTTCTCGGGTACCTGAAAGAGATTGGAATGGTAGGAGGTATCGGTGAACATCTGAGCAGAGTTGTGTAGCTGCTGGCGACGGTCCGGAGCCGGTGACGGAGATCGACTCCGCGATGTCCGATGGTCGACAAGTTCACCTTCACCACTGATATTGACAACACGCTGAGACATAGCCCTCATGATGGAGCCCGCCCTCAGGAGGGCGCCAGTAGTAGAGGGCGACCGAGAGCGTCGTTGCTCCCCTCCCGGGCTCAGTGTCGCTCCATAACTTGGACGCCTGCCGCCAGGTTCCAAGTCATACCCGAGCGATCTTGCATCCCGCGTCCTTGGTGGCGCGTTATCGATGTCGGATACTGTCTGAAAACTATCTCTCGGCTGAGCGTCCCCCACATTTGCGCTTAGAGAGCCGGAAATGGGCTGGGCCCTTGATGTAAGAGGCACCCTATCCTCATAGTAATCAGGGTTTGTAGCCTCTTCGAAGTATGGCGACGGTCGGTCGAGGGAGTCGAGAGATGGCGAGTTTAATCGGGGGAATGGAGGAGGCTGATTGATATCAGGTGGTAGGGCGAATTGTAATGCTGAGGCATCGATGGGGGAGTCAGGGCCTCCGGAACTGTTGGACTGAGCATAGGGCTGTTCCCAGTATGTCGAAAGACCAAGTCCATTAGCAGACATTTGCGGTTGGCCTTGACGGCCGCGCTGAGATTCGGCTTGGGAGTCTGCCTGCAGACCCTCCCTGCCAGAGCCCGAGGACTCGTCTTGTCGCGAGCTCATCTCGTAGGAGTAGGGGTTGTTGCTTTGCATCGAAGGGTATGGCTTCGATCTGCGCCAGGATCGCTGCTCTTGGTCCGTTCAATGAAATGTGGCCGCTTGTTAACAAACAGATACTGCCGTTGTGCGCGAGCAGAAGGCGTGGCTGTCTTTGTGTGCCGGTCGGAGGGTAGCCAAGCCCACGGATCGCATGTCCAGAACTATTGTCGGTAAAAGATTGCGAACATGTCGTAGTACGAAAAAGAGTCGCGTACGACAATTTGTTTTGCCAGAATCGAATGGAATGGAATGAATTGAATCCAAATTTTCGGAAGTGCGGTAGGCCCGTTGTGTGGGAATATGAAATGTCCCGATGAGCAACAGACGGTGCGTCGGTCGTAGAGTCGAGGTTTGGATGCTGTAGAGAGGGTTTGGCGTCGTGTTTTCGAACGCCACCAATCTGACAGTGAGGGCTCTGTGTTTCCGTCGTGAGCGGGGCGGGGTGTTTGCGACTTCGTCCTGTGGTCCGCGTTCGTTGTACGAAGGAGGAAAAGAGCGAGGGACAATACCAATGCTGTCAATTGTTTCTTCGTCTCGAAATCCGACGAGGTGATGGAGTGAAGGAGAAAGAGGCATAGGCTGACTAAGGCACCTTGTCCTAGGCAGATTCAGTGCCCAGAGTCGAAAGCACTGTAAGGATACTTGTCATCGGGGCCCCCACAAGGCGGGCAGCTGGAGACGGGAGTTTCTATTCTCAGCATGTCCATGGCTAACTCCCCCAGGTGGCTGGCGCGGCAGGGGGCCATCCCCACAAGGTAAGCTGGAATGGTAGGTACTTATTTAACCGTTGAAATTCCCAAGCACTAGCAGTACCCAGGCACTTTGGAGGGCAAGGAGGAAGTGGGCAGTGACCACTGGCAGAGGTTGATTCGGGTCCCGAGAACACGGGGCGCCGTCAGGGGCCGAAAAAGTACCGGCACAGTGTGTATACAGGTGTGGGCGTGTTTCACCCTCTCCATTCAGCCCGTCTCGAAACTGCCAGGTTATGAGGTGAACCCCTGGAACCTTACTTGCTGCAGGGCTCATGCAGAGAGGATACGAAGTTTTGCTGGGCTTCCTGTTTTCCACTATTGTCTAGGGTCTAATGCGGCATTCGGATCTTCCTACGTAGACTTCCGACTGAGACGATGGGATGGGGATGAGACGGCAGCCTTGGGAAGAACGGCACACGCATGAACGGCTTTCCGCAAGCTCGTAGCGGTGTGCTCTCTGCCTTAGTCGTACTGTCGGTACCTCGTGTAGGACTTTAAAATGTCCAGTCCGGCCATTTCTGGATAGGGCCAGCTAGTAGTCACTGCCCTGTGGTGTTGGGGACACTTGCCCTCCGAAATTCTACTTCTTGGTTTGTCGCTGGCAAGCACGGCAAAGTGCCCAGCTCGTGTCGGCTACGTCCGGCTGACGCTGTGGAGCATGGCTACGTAATTTCGCTGTAAGGTCCCAAATATCTCCATCGCCATCAGCCGTGTGCGTACCATGAATATCAACATCGAGGGACTTCGTAGATAAGTAGATACAGTAAACAACCTGGAAGACGCAAGTACGGATACACACATGATCGTAGAGCGGTATGTTCTGCCCTCTTGGACCCACATTAAGTAGATATTCCGTTTAGGGATGATTGCCAAGATGCGAGGAAGATTTTTGAAAATTGCCCGGGGGGAGAGAAAGAGAGGAAAGACCAAAAGGGTCGTGCTCCCGATGGATCCACTCCTTCCCGAGCATCACCGGCCGGCGCGTATTCAACTCCGTCCTGGGTCCCCGGCCCTACCCCGTTCTTTCCTCCGTGATTGTATTATGTAATTTTGCCTTAGGTAATGCTAAGAAGTAAAGCAAGCACCTACAGTAAGGTACCTGCCGTAGGCAAGGTTCCCTGCCCGTCAGCGCGCACAAGCTCGGACCCATTCTTCGCTGCCACCCGCCGGGCAGGCGCCTACGCGCCTGTACCTTAGATACACCGCGGCCCAAACGCGTCCAGACCAGACAAGATCGAGTAGGCTGTAGCACTGACGTTCGGCGTCCATCCACGCCAGAAAGTAAAGTAATTTGATTGCACCCACTCGACTTCATCCCGTGTCTTTTGCCTCGCCTTGCCATTATTCCACCTTTTAGTACTGAACAACACCCCAGCATTCAACTTCCGTTTCGTTCCAGTCGCACTGCCACCTTGGTTTTTTTTCTCCTTTTTCCTCAATCAGCTACCCTCTTGGTCTACACTATCAGCCCCTCGTCATCACCTCACGATCCCTTCCATACAGTTGACCCGCAGACTATATTGATCGATCGACTGCCGACCTTCCAATCCAATCCGAACATACCTCTTCGAGACCTTGACCTCATCGGGGCTTCATTGCGCGACTATATCGTATCAATGACGCGACAGTCCTGAATTATACCCAAGATCTCACCAGCACGCTTTCCGAGCATAACCAGGCCCCGCGAATTTTGGCCGCATCGATTCCTTCTTCGACAGCCTTGGCGCATCAACGTAGAACGCAAGCACAACCATGGTGTCGTCTCGCAAAAGGACACTGCAGGAGGCTGATAATGGCTTGAAAGAAGAAGACTCTCCGCTCCTTCGCCTACGGAATCAATGGCAATTCGCAAACCTATGCCAGTGGATCTATCTCTTCGGCAAAGTGGTCAAGATTGATGACAGCCTAGATACAGAGGTATGTGACTCTTCGCTCTGACTCAAAATATTCCATGGGGACTACCATTCACTGACTGCTCGCTTCTAGGATATTGAGACCGAATGCCTGAAGCCGAATGCCCCTGTTCTCCAGGATATCGGTCTCGCCTTACTCAAGTTCGTTTCGTCGCATCGTGGCCTCACGTACGTTATTCAGCCTTGTTAATGTCGCTTGTCGCATGCAGGGGTCTTCCATGCTAACATGTCGTAGACACGAGCTCTTTGACGAGTACACACGAAGACAATACTTGGCAAGGACACCTGAAAAGAACCCCTTTGGCACAGGAGAAACCGCAGCCAAGTTCACAGACTTCGATATCTTGACCAAGGTAAATGCATGCTTAATCTCCAGGTCAGTACAACGTGTCTAACTCAGCCGCAGGTACGAATTCTTCAACAAATGACACAATGGGTCATGGCTCGCCCCGAGCGAGTCAGGGAGAAGATGGAAGAACAAAAGGACATTGATCAGACCAGCTGGGTGAGTATTTGGGTGTTCTTATGCTATGCGTTGGTATTCTAACAGATTCGGACAGCGGATTGAGCCCATCGGCTGGGATAAAGACGATCGGACGTATTTTGTTCTCGATGACAACAGAGTCTATCGAATGACTGAACCGCCAAACCCACCTACTCCCAAGAAGAAGGCCAAAGCTGCGAAATACGGATCCCGCTCAAACAAGAGACGACGCCTCTCTGCACCAAATGATACAGACCATGCAGACCAGTCTGTGAACGAACCGACCGATACTTCTGGGGACACGACCGAGGACACTGGCCTAGGCAGCATGAAATGGGAATGCCTCGCTGTTAGCTTGGAAGATGTACAAGGGATCATTGCGTCTTTCCACAAAACCAAGGACGACAACGAGAAGATCTTGCGAGACCAATTGCAAGAGCATTTACTTCCTATCCTAGAGAAGCAGGAGGAGTCGAGGAAGCGCAAGGAGCAGCAGCGGGAGAGAGAACTGTTGAATCTGGCTAAGATGGCAAACGCGAAGCGTTCTAGCCGTATCGCGAATAAGGCAGAGCAGCAGAAGCAAGAAGAGAAGGCCCAGGAGGAAGCCAAGGTCATGCAAGTCCAACGGGCCGCAGCAAAGAAACAAGAGCAGCAGCAGCTCAAGATTGAAAAAGAGCGGGACCTCAGACTGATATCCCGAGAAAACCGGCTGAAGGAACGGGAGGCTCGCCGCTTACAACATGAACGCGAACTCTCTCAACTCTCCGAAGACAACCGCAATGGCTCGGGTCGCATCTCGGAGCGACGGCTGCAAGCCGAGATAGAGAAGAACATGCGAGCACTGGAGGAGCTTGAAGACGAGGAGGAAGACTGGATCTTCGATTGCATCTGCGGTGTCTACGGTCAGGTTGACGACGGCACACATAGCGTGGCGTGCGAGAAGTGCAACATTTGGCAGCACAGCAAGTGCCTCGGCATTAGCGAGACCGAAGCTGAGAAGCCTGAGTTTCATTTCGTCTGTCAATCATGCAAGCGGCGTGAGGAAGAAGCTGCGGCAAAACCAAAGACGACCATCAAGCTCAAGATCAACCGCCCAGCTGACGTAGCGTCCTCGCCTGCGAAGCAGCCGTCAAAGGAGAGCAACCACCTGTCGAGCCCGACAGGCCATGACGGGTCGGTTCCATCGAGGGGGAGACCGGTGCTCGGGCAAGAAATTGGAGCACCATCAGAGTCTGCGATCACCAGCCGCCGCTCTGGATCACCGATCCAACCTCGAGGGACACATGGAGCCAAAGAGACCAGCCCAGAACCAAAAACCCCCAAGGCTGAGAACGATGATGCTGATGATAGGCGAGCTCATCGTGACGCTGCTGCTGACAAGTCCTTGACGAACGGTAACGACAATGTGCCTGCAAGCCCACCGCGGGCTAGAACCACACCGGCACCGCGGGACGTCTCGCCCAGACACGGGAACTCCAGTCTGCTTGCCACGCCCATCATCAGCCGCGAGCATGGCATCCCGGGCTCGGCACACTCATCATTCACACTGCCCGCTCCTGAAGGTGGACTCTCTCCGACCAAGCATTCTCCCCCCGCCCCCCGTCCGCAGCCCCCAAGCACCAAAACGCCTGCCCTCCCTGCCGTCCTACCGCCTGTGGCGACTCTTTCGCCGTCCCCACGTCAGCAGATTCTGACACCCCCTATCAAGCCTGCGGAGCCTGTTAGACGGCCACAGCCTCCAGGTGCAAGTCCAAATGCGCTTTGAGACGAGACGGAGAGTCCGAGGCGTGCGTAAGACAGCTGAATCGATGGATACACGGAGTCGCTCCTGTATGAGAAGTACGGGAGCCATGTCATGGGCTCTGCCTGGGGGTTGAAATGTTAGGACCCTTCCAAAGAGTGGACATGACTTGGCTGTTTGGATGTATATGGATAATACTTGTATGACGAACGACTGCATAGAATACCTCAGGGAGTAACGAGTAGAAGATTACCAAACACGAACTCATGTGCAGGTGATCTAGGTCTTTGCTAGAGACAAAACGACGGGGAGTATTGCTATCCCTGCGAGTGAGATCAAGCCGAGGTTTAGGGGTATTAGCCGGATTCGTTTCTTTGGGGATATGCGAATGGCAACAAGTGTTTGGTACAAGAGACTCGTCGTCTTCCACGTCAGACGAAGCTTCACGGGCGGCAGAACACGCTAGCTGTTCGTGAGATCCGTTTGAATGTAGTTCCATACGGCCCTGGCTATGCCGCCGCATGTCTCAGAAGTAAACCGCTCTTGCTGGGAGAGAGCACAACCAGCTGCACCAGAGCCGGCCACGATGATTTTCTCATAAGGCCGCGTATCTGGACGGCCTAGGCCGCATATCCCAGCAACCAAACCAGCCCCGTGCGTGGGAAACAAAAGGCGAAGAGTCAAAGTATGAATCACATCTAGTCGCACGATCAACGAACCAATGGTCTAAGCTTCGAGACAGGCTCGGGCGATGGTTTGAGCGGCAACCTATACAGCGGTTCGCTCATGTCTTGCACGGGGAAGACGGGCCTACGAGGACAGGCATAGCCAGGGTGGGTTTTTGGTTGCGTCCGCCTAGTCTAATAGGGCACAAATCCTTGATGTCTCTTGCTCTCCAACTTTCCCGTTGGTCTCGAGGGATGTCTCGGGCTGTTGAGATTGCAGATGATCGTTGACGTGTGATGGTCTATATCCACCATAGAAGACATCACCACTGACGTGTTTTCCCCCACGCTTACGGTACGGGACCACGACAGGCCACATCCGACCGTCGCCGTGTGCTATCGCCGGAGATGGCGCATCGCCATCCTTGGGTGGCAGAGCAACAACGTCTTTGATTTTATGGTGACTTAAAGGGAGGCAGTCGAGAGCGGGATTGCATCTCGGCACAACCTTACCGCATGGCTTTCGGCTGCACGACCTGGATAGAATTATATGAGCAAGCAAATGAGCGAAGAGCATGAGAGAAATGCAAGGACAGTATCCAAAGAGGACTGCACGTCTGCCATGAGGTATGCGTGCCCATGCTGCCATGCATGCACATGCGGAAAAGTGAAGAGGCAAATGAAGACGGCCACGGGCTCCATTGGAGCCGGAAGACGTCGGCCTACCTCACAGCAGCGCCAAGATGAGCGCGAGTCGTGTTGGACCTGAGGTAAACGCCGATACGGATACCATCTAGCGGGAATGGCGGAGGCGACGGCGATGGCGGCGGCGGCATGTGAGTCCAGGGCCCAGGCATGATCTCTCACCCAAGTTTGTGAGTAGGTATCTGATTCTCATCTTCTAGTCCTGCGGATACTGACGAAGACTTAGGGACCGGCCGGAGGGGCCGTTACAGCAGCCTAGTGATGCAAAGCTCCTGCAAGAACAGGTGCCTTGCATGAATGGAAAACGATTGAATGCGCAGATGCATGCGGCGGTAATTGTAGCCTGTGGACGTCTGGAGATGAGGTGCCACTGGATGCAAAGAGCAGGGGCCCAACGGGAGTCGGGGAATTGGTGTGTTGGAACTTGGTATTCGTAGGGAAGGTAGTGTGGTAGTTTGTGGATTTGAGCTGGAGGCCAGAGGCTGGAATCAACGGGTGCCATTGGATACACTCCGTTGGGATCGACATTGGGCCTGAGGATGCAGCATCCCACCATCCATCCATCCACCCATCCCACCGTGCCACCGTCGGTGCCGTTCCTGTGTGCCTGCAGCGCGGCCGGCCAGTGCCTGCGTATGTGGAGAAGAGGGCGAAAAAGAGGCGAGATGGGGCCGCCGTCAAGAGTCAGGACGAGACACTAAGACGCAGACTAGGGGATTTTCTGAGCCAGCTCTAGGGCCAGATCTGGAGCCAAGAGGCACGGACGAAGACATGGCGCAAAGTAGCTTGCAGGCGTAAGCCGCAAGCGCAGGATGACGGGCGAGTAGTTCGGATGACATACGACCGGGCAGAGTCTCTTGCGGCGTCCGGAAGCCAAAACCGAGGAAGATGGAGAAGCTGAACTAGAGTCTAGAGGCCAGAGAAGGCCGGCTAGGTCAGAGGCTGACTGAGAGTGTGTGGTAGCTCTCCCGCACTCTGCAGAAGGCGGCATCCTTCGGAATACAACGGGCTAGCCGAAGATATGAACCTTATGGACCGGAAACTCTCATCTCTCCGGTTGGGCCAACACTAAGTACCTTGTGTACCTCAGATATGCCTCACCTCAGTCCTGGGCCCAGGATCAGGAAGGTCCTGATGGTTTTTCATGGTGGTTGGCTGGCTAGCCGAGGCCGACTAAGAGGGGAGAATATCGTAGCAGAACTGGGGAGAATCTAAACAATAGTTGCTGAGTGGACAATGTGCTAAGTATGTAAGGTGAATTATTAGGCATATGCATAATAAGTAAAAATGAAGTTCAGATGCCGATTCCTGCTGCGCGCGTTGAGTGTCATGGGTGGGGTGTGTCGGGCGGACCCTGGACACTGTGGGGGTGATTTGCGAGTGTTTCCTATTGATGTGGGTTTGAATGGGAAACAACGAGAAACAAATTTGCTTCGCAATTGGAGGAGGTTCCCAGGGTGCCTGAGGAGTAACAAGTAACAACTGACCAAGGCCAGGCTTCCGACGTCGGCTGGAGGAAGGGGGTATGCTCAAATGTTGTTGGTTGGAAAGTAAAGCAAGGTAGTGTTCATTTACCAACTGGACGGTTGTAGCCATCTGCTGGTCTGGCCCGAAATGGCGAGGCCCGGTTCTGATGCAAGGGCACGGTTGACGATGCAGATACCGGGGCTGCATGTTTGTGACGAAGCGAACGAACAGAATGAGAATGCCAGACGAGTGAGAATGGCGATAAGAACGTTGGCCATGGCTCTACCTAAGGTAAGGTAGATGTGAGATATGGTATCTTGGAGGGGAAAAAAGAAAGAAAGACCTAGCTAATTATTTGAGTTCCACATCTCATACTTTGGATGAACGACGGACAACCCAAGGTGCCGCCCAAGGTAAAAGTACCTTATTGTAAGAGACGAAATGAGACGGAAGGAGGGGACGAGAACCAACAGATACCATCCAAGGTAAGGTGCCTTACCTTAAGGTAGGCCAGGTACCTGCCCAATACGAGATGGGAAAGAGAGAGAGACGGACATGCACCGATCCCCACGCACCGTGGCAGGAAGGAAAGACCGACGTAGAAGAGTCAAAGAAGGAGCGACTTGGAATGCACGCCACGTTCTGTTTCTGGACAAGACCAATGAGAAGTGACGCCACCAACACTTCCGGCAGCAGAAAGAGCAAACAAACATTCCAATTCCCTGCCGGTCCTGCTTGCCTGTGCGGCCTGCCTGCCTCGCCTGCCTCGCCTTCCCTGCCAAAACCGTCTTGCGTGGTTGCAACTTTCGTGAGGTGCTGGCGTTGTTTCTTGGTGGAAGACGGGGAGGGCAGTGTGTCCCACGCTCCCACTCCCACTCCCACTCCCATCCTCTCTCCCAACTTTATCCTCTGGGGCTCGTTGCTTTTTCTTCCTCCAGGCCAGGGCACCACGTTGCCGATCATTTTACTTTTGATGCTACGCGAGGTACTTGCAAGATCTAGCCGCTCTTCAACCTGTTTATCCTGCTGATTCCAGCTGAACAACCCTTAGATGTTGACATCGCATCTTCCAACCCCAGTCACCAGCGGTTTGGTATCATCACCTCTTCCTTTTCTCAACCTTTGCCTCACATGATATCGCATCAAACGTGGCATGGCCTCCCTTGCTTCGGCCTCTCTTCCGATACTATTCTGAAAATCCTGCGCCATGTCCCCTTCCCTGCTTTCCATCATGGATTGTTCATGCTAAAAAATAGGCATGTTCAGCCGCGTAGGGAGAGACGAACACGTGCACAGACATCCGTGGAGGCGTGGCTTGGCTAAGGGGAGGGGTGAGTTGAGGAGAGAGCTCTGTCAGAGTAAACATTGTCAGAAGCTCATTCATGTATGAATGGGCATGACAAAATAGAAGGATGGGGGGAAGGCAAGGGTGCAGAACAGGGCGAGAGAGGAAGCGAACAGGCCATCAGTCAAGTTGGAACTCGAGTGAGTTCCCTCGCAACTGACTTTGCCAGAAGATGGATCTTGGTCTTGAACTAACCGGCTATCAGCGTGAACCGGTGGGGGAAGACGGGATGAGATGACGAAGGCTGAGGGGAGAGAGCGAGACATGGATCCCTGTTCAGATGGAAGCCATCCCGTCAGTTCAAGAGGGAAGCGATGCGTCTCGTCACTTTTGAATGTCCGCGCTGATAGCAACATCAGATGAGGCAGATGCTGCACCGCCCGTGCGATTGTGGCAGGAAAGCATCTTCAGACTTCATATGGGCGGGAGGTATCTACCCACCTCAGCGATGCCCGCCCTGTCTTTATATCCCCTGTTGCTTGTTGGTGAGCAATGTCGTGCCGCGCCGCGCTCCTCACATCGTCTCTGCCGCTATTTCACGTTGGTGTATTTGTGTCGTTTACCGCCCCCGTCAAAGTCGACCAGTTCCGTATACATGTCCAGGACCCAGGCATTGCAGGAACATAACATAACATGGCATGGCATGGCATTGGTTCCGTGCCGCGTTGGCCACTTGGGACGACCTGACACTGGTAATCATAATGGCAGCCGACGATATGACCGAGCTTGCGATATGGACACACAACCTAACACCTGGATACCGGACACCAGCGTCCCCCGGCATCAGCAGGGGCGGGGATCTTTCTCGCTCGCTTTAACCGAAGACGGCCAAACGGAACAGCAGCACCAACGGATGGGTTGCCATTTGGTGGTGAGGGCTTGGTAAGGCTGGTACGGCCGCTCGGCGCCGCTTTCAACCCCATGTCCGAATGCGGCAATCAGCTAGATGCTCTTTCGGACACAGAGAAGCCAGCGACGGCATAGAAGGGAGGCTAGAGCAAAAGAAGCAGAGGCCCAACTTGCGTAGATGCACATGCGTAACATGTAGACATAAAACCATCCAGCCCGGCCGAACGCTTTTCTTTCACTCCCCATCTCGCCCCTCCCCTCTTGCAAAGGGTTGAATGAATGAATCCTCTCATCGGTTCTCCCTTCTGACAAAGACCGACTTCCCTTGGCTTTTTCTACATGCCTCTGGGTTTCTTTGAACACGACCAGGATCTCTTATTCGCTTGAAATCAGATTCAGATTCAGATTCAGATTGAGACCCTCAGATATCCATCTGGCACGGTCTCTCTCTCTCTCTCTAACACACATACACACCCACATCGTCCACACATACAGCCATCTCAGCTCAGCTCAGCTCAAGTCAGCTCACCCTTGCCTTCTATTCCCATTCTAACTCTCCACCTACCCCTCTGCAACACCGCCGAACTCCCGTCCGGCTCGTGCATGACCAAGTCCTCATCCGAGAGAAGGACCAAGAAAGAAAGAGAAAGAAACCCCACTGGAAAGGAGACGCGAGGCGGCAACCCATCACCATCTTCACCCAACATTACTATCTTGGGATCGGAAGAGCGGGTATTAGAAGAATAGCCAATGTGCGCCGGAGACGAGCAGAGAAAGAGAGGAGAAGCACCGAGGAACAACCAGAAGCGAACAACCAACCACCTGAACAACAATAAGAACACTCAAAGCCGATGAGAGAAAGCCCAAAGATACCACCCAAGAGCATCAGCACTCTACCGCCTCTCTCTCACCCGCTTTCACCACCACCTGTCATCAAAGAGAAAAAAGTCGGGCTATTCATGGAGTTTCCCACGCTTGGCCTCTCGTCATACTACCAACCCTCATAAGCCTGACGCTGACCAGCCCTGACCAGGCCAGCATCAGTTGGACATTGTGGTTGCTTCCCATATCTCAGGAGAACGGTTCCAGATCACCACTGATCCCTGCTTCTCGGCTGCTTGCAACCTCGTTCACCCGTCCTCCATCTTGACCATCCCTGGTCCCTGCAACACCGCACCGCAACTCACTGCATACTTGTAGCTGCAGCTGCGTCTGCAATAGGCATACGGATCAGAGACACATACACAGGCAGAGACTCCAGGTACTTCCTGAACAGCCACCGGTACAAGGGCTTCTCAGGAACGAGCTGCCCGTAGCATCTCTGACTCTCTCTGTAGCCCTACCTCCACTCTTTTGTCACCGGGGACTACTACTTACTCCCCCGTTCGATCCATCCTACCTAGCTCACCCTCTCCTTCTTTCTCATGCACACACCACCCCCTGGCTAACACCACCGTCGGCTCCTCGACATCTACTGAATGTAGATAATCTGTGGACGCAGCTGCCTCTTTCAAGCAATCTGCTCCACTGCTGCCATACTTGTCTTCTTCCCTCTCACCTTTACTCACCTTGGAGCCTGCGTCTGCTGCCATACACATCCGTCACCTGACCCAGGCTTTGCCTCGTGTTACCATCGGATTCCAACACTTGCCCGTTCAACGACTACATTATCCGTACACAAGTGCCGAGACAGCCGCAAGGGAAAACAAAAACAAAACGACCGGAATTTGGAAAAGAAGCAGAACCCTCCCTCGCGGGTCTACAACACTTGAGATTCAGACAACATAGAGAGAATCCACTTGGTCTGCTTCATCGTCCTTCAGTCCACTGTCTTCACCCTCTTCTTGCTACCCGGTAAGCCAACACTGGTTAGCAACCGACGACACCAGAGTATTCCAACAGCTTTCCTCATTACTTTTAGCCCTGTGGAATGGAACAAAACGGTCCCCCGTCTCCTGCTCCCTCGAACGATGATATCTACCCGAACGGACTGCATCACTTGATACGCCCGGAAGGAGCCACATCCTACCCCCGAGAGCACTTACACCCGAGTGATATGGGGGGCATGCAAACTCCCTCTCGATACGGTACGCCTGGTCCTCAGCAAGACATGCAATACGATCACCACTCTCCATACTCACATCGCCCACATGATGGCCAGATGGTAAGCAGCCCCGTTCCGAGCTCAGTTCCATGTGTGTCAATACAGCGTGTACTAAACGAGCCTCGACAGTCTTATAGTCATGGATATGGCACAAGCGTCAGCTCCATATATGGCCCCATGTCCGGGGACTTGAGCCACCAGGTAAGCAACTTCGCTGTTCATCATAGTAATACAGACACTCACATGCTTCCTTACAGCCGTACAGCACCCCTGACACGTCACCACCCACGCCATCGAGGCCACCAGATGGGTTGACCACACGTAGTGGTCTCAACATTCAGAAGGGGTCGACTACCATCAAGCCGCTCGCAGTGAGAGCATCACGTGTTGAAAAGTCAACGCCCAAGAAGAAGAAGGAGCGGGCAAAGTCTGCCAAAAAGGTTGATGTCGTCAAGAGCCCACTGAGCGAATTGGCAAAGGAGCAACCGCACATCCCAGTAGCGGACATTGGGGCCTATGTTCAGCGATCTTCAGAAATCCGGATGAAGGAGGTCGAGGAGAGCAAGACGCCAGGCCGGATCAAGCGACCGATGAACGCCTTCATGTTGTACCGCAAGGCATATCAGAACCTCGCCAAAAGCCTTTGTACGCAAAATAACCATCAACTTGTATCTCAGGTCTGCGGTGCCGGCTGGCCTTTAGAGCCGGAACACATTCGGGACCAATTCAATGAATGGGCGAAGGAAGAGCGCGCGAACCACCAGCTTGCTCACCCGGGCTATAAGTTCACGCCTTCGAAACCAAGACCCAAGGCGAGAGAAGAAGAGGACTCGGATCAAGGCGACATGGACGATATGGAATGGAACGGCAGCCGCGCGAGCTCAAGGAGCAGGCAAGTGAGGAAACCCGGACACGGCAGGAACGAAGCACCAGCGTCCATCTTCCACAATTACCCGCCATTGCAGACGAGTCCCATGGGTCTCGGCGTGCAGACACAGTCCATGTACCATTACAGCAACCCGGGAAAGCCTCTCCCAGCACCGTACAGTCAGAATGGCCTTGGCGGCGGCCAGTATTATCAGCAGAGCGTCCACCAGCGTCAGGACGCCACCGGCTTTGTTGAGGACGTGCTCATCAGGAAGACGCCATCACCAGCGATGGGCTACGCAGCACCATCGATGGACCACCGGTACGACGGCATTGACCACTACGGCCCAATGTCGCATCCTGATGGCATCGATCCGATAATCGATCCGGGTCTAATGGGCCATGGAGGTCATCCGTACGGCGACATGTACGGCAATCACATGCTACCGCGATGGACGAATCCGCTCAACTTTGGCGACGGAAGGCAGGAACTGATTGATGGTATGGGATATGAAGAAAGTCTTCTGACAGACCCTCAAATTCAGATCCTGAGAGGACCAGAGAGCAGCTGGAGAGTGGAGGAGCTTGACAGTAGCCACTTCACCAACAGCTGGATAGAACCAGAATGAGCGGAAGAAGATTTGCTTTCAAATCGGCTCGCTCCTGTAGTTTGTACATTGTCCGAGAAAAGGAAGGGCGTCAGGAGTATTGGGTATCTTAGAACGTAGGCGGACATCTCATTTCTGTTTGGTTTTGTTGAGACTGGAGATGAATTGTTTTATTGGGGGCGGTTCTTGGGCAAACGGAGCATGAAGAGAGAAATGGGGAGAAGACGAGGAGAGAGGCCCGGAACTTGTCCCATCGAGGGCGCACACACCATAGCTCAAGGCTCTCCCAATACAAGTACCTACTTATTGCTCTCAGCTTGTAGTGCCATCCCGATCGACCTGCGGTCTCCGGAGCTGAAATGGTGCCGTTCAGTAGACATGGCGATCGTTCTTCGTCGTAATTCCGACACCACGTGCCCCGGGCCCGCTTCGAGGGATTACTGGCAGCTTGAGGGCGAAGTGAGGTTCAGAGTTCCTTGTGAAAACGAGATTTCATGCCATGGCAGTAAGATCCAGCGTTGGTACGTTTTCTGGGGTAGCAATGCACGAGTGACAATCCAGGGGGGTTAGCGATACGCGTGGGGTCAGTCGTATGTGACTAAGCCAGGTATGGCTATGCGTTAGTGTATTATCAGGAGCCTCGTTTTTGCACTATCTTCTCCGCAAAGTGATACTCAACCACTTTAACGAGGCTACAGCAACGACGTGCCAAAGCTCCTGGCGCCATCGACTTCAACATCGAATTCATCCTTGCTAGAGCCTGGTCCATCCTGCACGTCGCCCTTCGCCCACCCCGCCTACTGAGCTCTTGAGCTTGCTAAGGTACTTCTGGGACAGTCACAAATCTTCTCCGGCATCAAATCAATCAACAAAAACAAGCGTTAACCTTGTGGCAGTATTGCACCAACGGGCTCGCGCCAAATACGCTCTTATATCATGACGTGGATCTCGCGCTCGATCACGGCCATTGGCCTCCTTCTCCTCGGCCATGCGTGAGTCTCTTTTCTCCCTCTTTCTGTTCCCCAGCTAGCCTGACAATCGTTTTGACACCTGCCCTGTTGAACAGCTGCTACTCTGCGCAAGAGCATTCTGCGCTGCAATCTTTCCGAGCAGCTTCGCCTTTAGCAACATCTGCCTCGGCTACCACGTCGCTACCGGCAGACATTACAATCGAAGCGGCCGTGGCGACTCTCATCGTCGTCTTGGGTATGGTCTTGGGCGCACCCAACCTCCGACCGGTCGAGTGGCGCGTGTGGGCAGGCAAAATTGAAAGAGAGGGCGAGATGGGATTCCTGACGGGTAGCGGGGAGGTGGAGAAGGACTACGTTGGCAACCCGTTTCGCATTCTCGAGAGCCGGCCCGGCTTTGCCGACATTCGGAAACAAAAGAGAGACTTTACGAACTGGGTCAAGGCTGGGGAAAAGGCTGGGACCGCGGCCAAGTCGGGTTGAGTTCTGGAATGGCGAATGAATATAGTCTATCCAAAACATGCCTGCAATGTGTTTTCAACGTGGGCACGCTCATGTCAAAGTGCTCATCGCAATGGCCTCGGAAGACAGCTCCCTACCCGGGGGTCACGATGAATTTTAACCCTTCATCATGCAGTAGGCAAGGTATCTAGATCCAGTGCATCTCCCAAGATCGAATCAAGAATTAGAGAAAAGCATAACCCAAAATTGGACGAACAACGGAGAAGACTGTTCCACTTCCTAGCACATCGACATCGGAGAAGTGCTCCTCGAGGTTGCCTTGGATGGCAACCTGGCTTCATCAATGTTGATTGTCTACCTTATTTACCCACTCATGCGTAGCCTCCACGGTTGCGCATGCAGGGAAACATCGAGAAGATAAGCAAAGGCAGGCGCTCCTTCCACGATTCTGTCGTGCTTTCTTCTGAGCACCCGAAATGCTCGGCAGAACTACCTGATCAAAGTACGCCAGGGGCTCCTTGCACACAAGATTAGGCAACTACCTTATGTACCTTCCCGGTGTCTCCGAGGCAAGCACGACTAGATTTGGGATAGGTCCGTTTCCATGACATTTGGAGCTGGGAATTATCTGAACCTGCCGTGAGCAAACTCGTGCCACACATACCTGGACATGCTCTTGTTAGTCAAAACTGCCTCATCCCACTACCTAATTTCTGCCCTTCTGGGCTTCTCTTCATCTCCTTTTTGAACCTTACAAAGACCAAGGACACAGATTACTCATTGTTCTCCCTCGCCGTGTCGAGCCCAAGGAGCCTCGTCATTCCGTTCCATTCACCTGTATGCCCAACAATGCCGGGACGAGATAGCGTCAAGTTCAGTCCCTGGCGTGGTCGACCTCGCAGAGGATTCCCTCATGGAAGTTTCAGAGGCCGGTCGAGTGGCTCGCGGAGAGACCGAGGAGGGGAATCGAGGACTGGCTCGGATGTCAGCTCAAGAGGAAGCTCGTATACACCTCGTCGTTCGAGGGGATCTTCTGCTCGTGCATACCGAGGATCGCGAGGTACTTCCCGTGTCGTTGGTCCGCACAACACCTCGCCCATCTTCTCGAGCCCTTGTGGTACCCATGTACCATCACTTGAGGACAGTTTGCTATCTTTAGGACCTTCCATTGAAGATATCGGGTATCGAAACCGCCCCATGGGTCCCGCGAGTCGACTGACACTACCGTCCAACAACCACTTCTTGCCCTCAATTGCTGCTGGAGTCGGATTCGGCAATGATCGAATGCCTCTACCACTGTCAGCCAGCGATCACGAAGCACCGTCACTCCTTGGCAGAGAAGCAACGGCTCAAGTCGAGCAGCGGAACGAGGTTCTAATGGCCATTTCCGTTCAAGTGAAAGGTGTCCTCGGATGTGCCTACTACAGTACAGACGAGAACAGCTTGTTTCTTCTGCAGGATATGTCCTGCACAGAGCCGTTGCAGTTTGTCGAAATGCTCATGCTGCACATTCAACCAACGGCCGTCTTGTTACCCCTGAAAGTACCGGATGAGGTTCTTCATTTCTTTGAGAAGTATCAAAGCAATGTAGACCGAGGTTGGTTATTTCTTGAGATAGGGGCAGTGATTTTGAGCGTTGATGAATCATTCTCATAGCATCTGCAAGGGACAACTACATTATCCGACTTCTAGGTTCAACCGAATTCAGCCACGACGCTGCCATGGATAGGTTGATGAATCTGCCGATCGCCACCTCGGAATATGCTCTGGTGACGAATACAGTATTTGGTTTATCCAATCGCGGCTTGCAGGGTCCCGGGGACAATTGCCAAGATGTCAAGACGATGCGTCTCGGGTCTTTTGTAGATCTGGAGAGCGTTACATCGGTAAGCTATGGTGAAGGAAATGCTGCACTTGTCATATGTGGTTCTAACACACGCTAGATTGGTTGTGCCGGTGCCGTACTGTGCGAGACTTTGCGACTTCAAAATGTTGAGGGGGCACCAGAAGACACAGAGAGAACTTTCGGGGTGTCGCTGCAGATGTTTGCTTTGACGGACTTCATGTTTGTAAACGCTGACACGCTTTCCTGCCTCCAAATATTCCAGTCCGAATTGCATCCGAGTAACCTGATATCCGGCGCGGGAAAAGCAGCCTCCGGCTCAAAAGAGAGCCTATCTCTATTCGGTCTCTTTTACCCGCTTGCTGGTACCCCTCAGGGCAAGGCGAGGCTTAGACAACTCTTCTTGCGTCCACTAATCAACATCGACATGATCCGCGAGAGGCAAGCAACCATTTCGGTATTCTTACAGCCAGGGAACGAAGAGGCCTTTACGAGCATGTCTAAAGAATTACGGAAGGTCACAGACATCAGGGAAACTCTGGCTCAGCTGCAAAGAGGCGCAGCAGAATCTCCGGCTGGTTGCGCTTCAATCGAGCGTGGTGTTTGGTGGACACTAACTCGATTTTCGCTCCATGTGCTACGGCTAAGAGACGCCATACTTCAGCTGCGAAATTCCAACGGCCTTTTCATCATACAAAAGGTCAGTCATGATAGCAACTCATCTGCCAAAGGAAAAGCTAAACCTATAAAACAGATGGTGCAAGTCGTCGCAGTGGACAAATTGACGGCAATTATAGATTTAATAGGGAAAGTTGTCGATTTCGAGGAAACCAAGGCAAATTCACGCATTGCTGTGAAATTACACGTAAACACTGAGCTCGATGGATTGAAACAGACTTATCAAGGGCTAGAATCTCTCTTAAACGAGGTTAGTACAACATTGTCTTTAGAGCTCCCAACGTGGGCTCGCAAGTTCGTCACAGGCTGTGTCTTTTGGCCGCAACTAGGCTTCCTCACTGTTGTGCCTTTACTCGAGGGTACTCGGGCAGGCTACGAAGGCCAAGGACTGCCCGGTGACCTTTGGGAGCAAAGATTCACGGCGAACGACAATGTCTATTTCAAAAACAACCTCATGCTAGAGTTAGATGAACACTTCGGGGACACTTACAGCAGGATTGTTGGTTCGTGGTCAGGTCTTACTGGCGAGATACTTACCTTGCTAATATTTCTCTAGATCTCGAAGTTGATATCTTGCACGGTCTAGCCTGCACGATCCTTGAACATGAGGCTACCCTCAGTCGCGTGTCTGATGTTTGCGGCGAGCTTGATTGCCTTGTAACTCTTGCTAGCGGAGCACTCAAATATGGCTGGGTATGCCCAACTATGACAGAAGACAACATTGTTTCAATCTACGACGGACGTCACCCCCTCCAGGAGCTGGCGGTGCCTGCATTCATCTCCAATGACTGCAGCCTTGTCGGTGGCTCTGCCAATGAAACAAGAACACCAACATCGACGCCGAACAATGATATTGGTGCCAGCACTCTCATCATCACAGGACCAAATCATTCGGGAAAGAGTGTGTACGTCAAGCAGGTTGCGCTCATTGTTTACCTTGCCCATATTGGCAGCTTCGTGCCCGCTGCCAGCGCTACGATTGGTCTCACGGACCAAATTCTAACCCGCATCTCGACGCGGGAAAGTGTGTCGCAAGCGGAGAGTGCATTTGGTACCGATTTGAGGCAAGTGGCCTTCCTGCTGAATTGTGCTACCCGTCAAACGCTCGTGGCAATCGACGAATTTGGTAAAGGGACGGCAGCTGATGATGGAGCTGGTTTGATGACTGCCCTCATTGACCACTTCAGCACACTCGGTTTACAGTCCCCCAAAGTTCTGGTCACAACACACTATCATGAAATATTCGAAGGCGGTTATCTCTCAGAGAGACCAGGCATATCGCTCGCGCACATGGAAGTCCGTCTTGATATCGAGGCGAACCAGATGGAGGACCAGGTGGTTTTCCTTTACCGTCTAGTTCCCGGAAGAAGCACTTCAAGTTTCGGGAGCAGATGTGCAGCGTTGAATGGAATTGATACCGCGGTGGTCGAGCGAGCTGAAGCAATTGTTTTGCTCCTAGCCCGAAATGAAGACCTTGGGGTAGTGTGTGCTAGATTAGATGCTGAAGATGAAGCTCGACTTGAGGAGGCCGAAAACGTTGCCCGGCAGTTTCTTCGAATCTCCTTGGATGGCCCCGGAGAGTCGCAGTCCAGAAGTCGAGGTATTTCGTCTACTCTAGTCATTTTGCAGGATCTTCTCATGCCGGCAGTGGTTGAGTGAGGTATCTGCGAGAACTTGATCCTCATGAGCACCAGAGGTCCTGGCGCGGTACCAAATAATGACCAGGCTGAATAATGCGCAAAGGGGGAAGATTGCTGTTCAGTCGAAGAGCCGGGCAAAAAATGTAGCAATTTGTTGCTGTGTGGTTGATTCGAGCAACTGATATCAAGGCAACATTTGAGAAAGCGCCCCTATACAGATGTTAGACTCGAGATAAGAAGAGAACGCAGTCTCGATTGCCTTAAACTCGTACAAAAGTTTCGTCCGTGACCTTCCAGAAAACTCTGTATTACTAATGTGATGCTACAGCTTGGCGATTGAAGCCCAAAGTGTCTACCATCACACGTTGGCGATGTTACTCGTGATCAGTACTACCACGTTGAGAAACATGAACGCGAATAGAGGCTGCTGCACGTTTCCAGTCACCATGTTACGCATATGTTATCCTTGAAATATATATATATATATATATATATATTTTTGTGTCTTTTTCCAAGGAAAATCGCCTCGACAACCGTTGGGCAGCCTGCAATACCCCTGCCACATAAATACGGGCTGGGTATTTTTGCGACCTCAAATAGGCGCCGACGCATGTGCAAATAGCCGCCGCGAACCAACATTGGCGGATCCTCTGCAGCGAATCAAGTGAGACAATGTGAGCGAGCGGTTCGCTCTGCCACTCTCTGTTGCATGGGTCACCAACGACATAAGATGTAGGGCTGAGGTATTCGTACAGCTCCCCCTTGGCCAAGGCTGTCAGCTCAAGGCATCATCGCAAGCTTCAACATCACAAACATAATTATCCGTCTCAAGTGCTCTGCCGGATACCTGTCATCGAAGGATTTTACTGGTCAAATATCATGGCGATACCAATTGCCGCCACCGCCGCCGCCACCGCTGCCACGTTGGACGACAAGTTCCAGAATCTAGACGATGAGGTCGTGTACACTCGCGTCAAGGCCGAGGCTGCCAACGACAAGGCTCTCAACTTTGTCGTCGAGTTCAATCTCAACGAGGCCTTCATCGCCTTCAACCTGACCTCTGATGATTTCGCCCAGCTCGCCACGCGAAAGCGCAAAGAGGGCATGGTGCGATGGATCAATATCTGGTCACCGAGCATGCAGAAGCCAGCCGTGGAGCGCATCGGCTCCCAGTATGGGTTCTCCAAGAGACTTCTCGCCATCATGACGGCTCCTGCCTTGTCATCCATCAAGCAGCAAGTCAACGCGGTGCCGGCCTCACTGCAGGGAGGTGATGTCGAGAAGGGGTCGTTGTCTGACGGCCCTGGACTTCCACCACCAGGACAGACGCAGGCGCAAGTGTTGGAGGAGCTTCAGATCTACCAACTCGTGAAGGAGACGGTCAACTACACCTCCATTGACCAGGGGAAGAACTGTGAGTTCTCGGCCAGCTCGATTCCAGAAGTACTGCCAGAGCAATAGCTGATTATGGACCAGTCCTCTGCATCGGTGCCAACTGGTTGCATACCCGGCCACAGTCCAGAGTCACCGAACACAGTCCAAGTCTGTTACCTCCCAGACACTGGTCATGGCTTGCCCTCAGCTCCGACTGTAAGTTTGCGAATTGCTCGTACGAACTGTTGTGCCATACTCATCCACCGACGTAGCCGTCGTGGTGTCTTTCCACGAGACGCCATCATCAGAACACAGCGAAGACGAAGAATGGTCCATGGCAGAACTCGCCAATACGAGATCCAACACTACCAGCGTATTGTGCCAACTATCTAAGCACGGTGTAGAAGATTTCGAACGAAGGCTTCTCTCGCTGAAGCCGGTCAGGCAAGCAATGCCTCGCTCGGAAGTCGACAGTAACACTGCCTGCGAGGGCTCGAGTAATCTTTTCTATTATCTTTTCGAGGACTATTCGTCGGCTCTGCCCGTTTTAAGAACTTCCAAGCAAGAGCTGGGTCGACTAGTACGTCACGAGAACCGAGTCTCGACGACCCTGACTTGTAATTGAGGATGAATACCTGCTGATACCATGTTGCGTTGCAGAGCGATCAAATCTTGAAGCCGGTAGGTTATCGATGCCGTGACAGGAGCAGAGAGCTGACTTACAAGCAAGAGCCGAAGAACCAAGGTTAAGACAGGAGAGATTATACAATCGCTACATACGCTGAGAAAGGAGCTCAGCCAGCTCCAACATTTGTTTGAGGGTTACAAAAGCCTCATCAGGCGCATCTGTTGGTCCCCTCAGTCCCTGGATGGCTGTCCCGAAGGCCAATGTGGACACCTGAAGTTCTCCAGAAGTACGTTCGGCGAGGTAAATATCTCATCGTCAGCAAGAAGTCGCTTCGAGCGCCTTGGAGACAGACTGCAACTGTTGATGCTCAACACAATCCAAGAGTATCTAGACGAGCAAAACGCACTCTCCAACACGGTAGGTTTCCGGGAAGCATGCTTGAGCCGAGTGTATTGAATGTTTGCTGACGCTGCTGCTAAACAGTATTTCAACCTCACGGCCCAAAGGGACTCACAGGCGACTGCACGCCTGAGCAGGAGCGCTACCGTACTAGCCAAGCTGAGCGTCTTTTTTCTCCCCATAACCTTCATGACCAGCTATTTCTCCGTAGAGATACCCGATCTGGTGGAACACTACACCCCCAAGATGTACTGGGTCTGTTTTGCCGTGATTGCCGGGATCTCCTTCATTAGCCTTTTCTTTTTTAGTCGCATGATTGAAATCCTCAGCGACGTCCTCGAGGCTTGGGCCTACACCGCGGTGCGAAGCACCCGGCGTTTTGTTGGACTCCGTGTACAAGATGATAGAGACGAACATTAATCGAGATGTCGGGCCGCCGCATTCCATAGCCAAGTGACCCACGGCACCGCATCGGGGTATTCCCTGTCCATCTCATCTAGGCGAATAATGACCAAAGAAACAAACAACGTAACGGAATCAGGACTCCACGAGTCGTTTCCTCTGCGTACACAAATTTGTCCCCATGTTGATAATTGTCTGACTTGCCGTTCATCGCATGGCACCGAACAAAGCGATTCCTACACCCGCAGCGAGTTTAGCCACGCATGCCGCTGTTGGACGTGCTGCGGCGTTGATGACGACGCCATTCACTGTGGTCGATTGAGCACACTGGTCGTTGGACAAGCCGTAGCATGCTTGGGAGCTAAGACTCGAACATATAGGTGTCGCCGATGTTCCGACGTCCGGCCGGGTTGCCGCGACGGTGGTTCCACCCCCACCAGGAACAATCACAGTAACACCGAAGCCCGCATTGCCATCCAATTGAGTGACGCAACTCTGGTAATTCCTGGAGCATTGGCTGAGGGCTGATGAACATTCGCCGCGATCGAGCGATGTCGCTATGTATGGAAATGGAAAGTAAGCATTGGGGACATACGAAACTGCCGTGGCGGTCGGTACTGTCGTCGGAGCCGTGCCGGTACAAACAGCTCTAGGATGTGCGACTCCGAATTAGCCTGGATTTTTCTCATGATGAAAATAATGCTGGAGGTTTAGTCATACCCAGATGGACAGCAAGCTGGCCGGTTGTTATCGTCCAGTTCGCACACTTGTCCCGTGGCGCAACAAATTCCATCAAACGTCGCGCCTAGTGAATCCGAACATTTGGATGTGCCAGCCGGGCAATCCTGACGTCTGAATAGTTGTAACGGCGCACCGCCTAACACGTAGGCAGCGGTGGGAACCATAGTCTTGGTGCCACTTGAAGTCGGAGTTGGGCTCAGGGCTATAACCGTTTCTGTGGCTCCCAGTATTGCCAGTCGCATTGTCCATCGTGATAACCTCATGATTTCGTAAATATAATGGGCCAGGCCCGGATTGTAGTTGACGCAGCGAACCTGTTTTCTTGCCCTAGCCGTGCGGAGGTGGAGGAGTGTCTGTTGCTGGCTTTTGTGATAGATAAGCAGGTGCCTCCTCGATCCAGGATTGAATAGTCAGTTATCGGTCCCGGATGGCATCAAGCAGTTGTCTCAAAAGCTGGCCACGAATTCGGTGAGGTTATGGGAAGAGTGGAGGAAGGACGGGCCGGAGAGCTAAAACAGTAGTACTTGTATGTCGCTCTCAGCCTGCTCCAACAGGAGGATTACACGAGTGTCAAAGCCTGCCCGCTGTCAATCTGCTGGTTGCCAGCCACAGCCAAGGTTTTTGCCCAATTCCGCGTCCCTGCACTCGAACTACTGTGAGAAAGTAAGGTGAGCTGTCCAACCCCGCCCTCGTTCTTTTGGTGAGGTGGGTTGCATGCATGCGAATTCTCTCTGACTACCCAGGCCAAAAGTACCGCCAGGGTGGGTGAGGTGGCTGGGCATCTGGGCTTCGCAGGGTGAGGGGGTAGGGAAGACGCCAATGAGCGTTGCAATCGCATGATGTCATTGGGCGAGGGACAGTTGGCAGAGCAACCCCGGCCTCAGTCCCTCGGGCCCCGGTCATGATGCACAGAGCAAGCTTTGCACAACACCCTCGTCGCGATTAACGGCCTCGAACATGGGCCAGAATCTGTCGGAGTCGTTGAAGTGCCTGCATCTCGCCGTGGCCTGTCGTAGTTTCTGTCCCATCTCCGCGCGCCTCTTCAATTTCTTGGTGCGCTTGTCGGGCGAGGGACCCGAGGTCACCCCAAACTTCGTCCGTGTAGCTCGTAAGCACATCGTTCCAACTTTCCATCCACATGGCTCTGGCTTGTTGCACATCTGCGACTCCAAAATGCTGCAATAACTCGCTGGGGTCGTCTCCATTCAGGAAATGAGGCTGGAAGTCGAGGAGACTGGCCCAATTGAAGGCAGGCTCTTTATGCTTTTCGTCGAAAAGGGCTCTTCTCAGCGACAATTCTTCTTCTGGGGATATGTACGTCTGTAGGTCGTCGCCATTCACATCAAAATCGTCCAACTCGAGAGAATCAAGTAGTTCAACAACACCTTGGCCGTCTTTGACCTCTTGTTTCTGGAAATCGGACTTGGTGCCTGCTGAGAGAGGCATGTATTGACTGTATTCGCTGACAAGGACGGTTCCAGAGTTGCTCTCCTGAGCCTCGGCTGACCTTTGAGGCTGGGAGAGGTCATCGAGAACCGCTTGAGCCTGAGCATCCATGAAGTCTTGGTATTGCTGTCCACCAGCAGTGGATAGACCTGTTGCCGAACTAAAGCCCGTGGCGGTGCTGGGGTTCATGGTGCTTGGACTGCGATACGCAGCAGTATCTCGGTGGCTTCCGGAGCCCTGGGCAGAGTCGGAGGAGGTTCCGGGTGAAACTTTTGCTCCCATAGTTCCGCTACGGATGGTTTCGGTAGCAGACGAAGCTGTTAGAGCGGTGCGAGAAAGGCTGGCCGCAGATGCCGTGAGCCGGGATGCAAATGAGGAATTGAGCGGTGCATCTCGGTCACCTTGCTGATGTAGAGCTGTGCCATCACCAGGCGCCGGTTGGACATCGGAGGGAGGAGCGATGGAAGTTTCTTTGCCCTTGCCCTTGCCCTGGGGACTGGAGATGGCATCGCGACTATTCTGCTCAACCATGCTGAGAGGAGTGAAGAAGAGGTGTGTAGTGGGCGCTTGGGGGGTCTATAATGGCAACTTAGGCTCAGCGAGACAGAAGGCTGGCGACATGATATTGCAAGTGCGAGAGGAGTGGGGTCGAAATGTCTGGTTTGTACCTATTCATACACAGCGACCGAGGTCCATGCCTGCCGTGGGCTTCTTGTATCGTTGATGTGCCGGCCAAGGGCCGTAGCTAAGGTACCTTGAGCTTGAGGAGCGAATAGGTAAGGTGAGGCAAGGTACCGTAGGTAGGTATCCGTACATTCCTTGCCTTCCAGGTACCTGATAAACGGTACCTACCTATCTAGGGCACCTACCAACAGCAAGGTAAAGTACCTTAGGTAAGGTAAACAGAGACAGGCACCAAGTATGCAATTTGACCGGAAGCAGTTGACGTCTCTTCGGCGTTCTCCATTCGGCCGGACTCTTTGGCTGCACATGTCAGCCCCGTTCACGAGTGCGTATCTGTAGGGAGTACTCCGTAAGTGTATCCCAACGCAGCTGGCAGCTTCAAGCTTCCATCACTCACCATTCCACTAAGTGGGACTCAAGTGGGGGAAGCGCAGGGCGGGGATTCAGGACCGCAGTCAAGAGGGGCGTCTTCAGCATCTCGAGGCCGCAATATATCAAGGCAACATGGCCGAGTGGTCCAAGGCGATAGACTTGAATTACATATTGTTCTATATCTATTATCTTCGGATGCGCAGGTTCGAACCCTGCTGTTGTCGATTTTTTGCGAACCATGACCTAATAAACCATTTTTGTGCCTATCTTTCCATCATCTGAGAGACTTGACCATGAATGTTGGTGGTTACCTTACACTTTTGTATACTTTACGTAAGCTAGCTCTCAATTAATGCTTATGGGACAAAAGTCAATACCGGTACCTTACGGAGTACGGATAGGTAGGTATCCGTACTTGCGTTAACTTACTGGGCGAGCCCGTGCCCCCAACCCAATCGGGCCACCCGCCTCAACCTGAGGTAAGGTACTCTGCTCTGCCCCTCCCCGGTCCCGTCAGCAGCTGTCCACTGAATTCCAGGTCGACCTTGGGTCGGGAGTACTCCGTACCGCGCGTACTTAGATGTCCAATTGTGTTTTCCACTGGATTCCCATGTTGACCCTCATCCCGCCCGCTTTCAGGGCAGCCACAAATCGGAGCCAGTTAGGTTGTGTAGGTACGATAGCGACCTGCGTAGGTACCTTACCTCACCTAACCTAAGGTAAGGTACCTACCTACCTTAGGTAACCCAGCGCAGTGGACGGGAGGGCAGCACCCGTACCTTACGGCGCCCACCTATCCTGCCACCAGTGCCATCGATCGGGCAGCCAGCCCGGGTTGCGATTACAGTACGGATTGGATACCTCTCCGTACCTTAGCGAATCTGGGAGACCTGGAAGCAAATCAAGCCCACGCAACATCCCTCTCTCTACCTTGCCTTACCTACCTAGCGTCACCTCTTTCTATCCCGCCCATCATCACTCCACCACTCCCACCTACCTACCTACTTACCTACCTACCTGACCTTACCTTCTCCCCAATCTCAACCTTGCGCAGTCTGCACCCTGTTCTCGCCTACCCGCAACCTGCGCCGCGATACCCCCTCCATACGAACAACGTGCAAGCCCTCGACCAACCGACTTTTGGTCTTCGCCGTCATCAGAACACTCAACCGTCCCTGCATACGACGAAATACGCCTTTTTGCAAATCCCAGAAGCATTCTCACTCCCACTCCCGCATACGCCAAACACTACGCACCTACCCTTACTTACCGCAGAGCCTTCGAGCTACGGGCCTCCCTTTTCAACCCCTCGTCAACTACGACCCGCCCGATCTATCTCTGCCTCATCCCAACGAGATAGAAACCGCTCGGCTGCTCTTCGCCCGCAATTGCCTCACGCACTCCTCCACTTTGCCTGCGTGTTTTTAGGTCCATCTTCCGCGCACATCACCGCAGTTACTCTCAACTCAGCACCAACCCACATTCTTCGCGCCGTTCAGCTCGACTCTCGTGTGGCCCATCTCAGCCCTGTCCATACTCTCCAGCGCCGAGAGACAGCCTCTCTCTCTTACCGCACTACTAAAGCTCGCCCCTTCGTTCGTCTTCGACATACCCCGCCACCTCGCCTCTTCTGCTCGCCCATATCAACATCTACAAGTCCATTTCTTAGCCCGTACAGAACTGGTCTGCAAACATGGTGGACAGCGACACGAACTCCCCCACGTGGAAGTTCACCCAGTACGTGCTCTTGCTCCTTTGCTCCATGTCTCCCTCTTCATCATCCTCATCTCGACTGCCCCGCCCTCGCCCCTGCTGGGATAAGTGCTTACGCTACGCAATAGGTGCTTTGGAGACAAGGGCGATGTGGAGGACATCACCGAAGGTAAGATGCAGCCCGCAATTCCTTGTCTGTCGGCTTTACCGCCGCCACCATGGCAGGTTCTGTCGGCTCCATCGTCTATAGATCTAACCTTTTCTCCTAGCTGATATCATCTCAACGGTTGAGTTCGATCACACGGGTAACTACCTCGCGACAGGAGACAAAGGCGGCCGGGTCGTATTGTTCGAACGGAACGAGACGGTGAGCTAAACCTGGCATCCGAGTAGATGGCGTACTCTTCGTTTTTGACCTTATGCTGATATCCTTGAGCAGAAAAAGACATGCGAGTACAAGTTCCATACCGAATTCCAGTCCCACGAGCCCGAGTTTGACTACCTGAAGTCGCTGGAAATTGAGGAAAAGATCAATAAGATCAAGTGGTGTCGTCGACAGAATGCATCACACTATCTGCTCTCAACAAACGACAAGACGATCAAGCTATGGAAGGTGTTCGAAAAGTCGCTTAAGGTCGTCGCCGAGAACAATCTATCCGATGACTTGACTCCCGCAAACCTCGCTGGCGGCGGGGGTGCTCCCAAGCAGTCACCTGCGCATCGCTTCAAGAACTCTGAAGACCTCATCATGCCCCGCCTGACCCATCATGACACCGTCGTTGCCGCCGTACCTCGCCGGACGTATGCAAATGCCCACGCCTATCACATCAACAGCATATCCGTCAACAGCGATGGCGAGACATTTATCAGTTCGGACGACCTCCGCATCAACCTCTGGAACCTGAACATCCAGGACCAGAGCTTCAACATTGTCGACATCAAGCCTGCAAACATGGAGGAGCTGACTGAGGTTATCACTGCTGCCGAGTTTCACCCTCTGAGCTGCAATTGGTTCATGTATGCAAGCTCCAAGGGCACCATCAAGCTTGCCGACATGCGCCAGAGTGCTCTCTGTGATAGCCACGCAAAGCGTACGTACTGCGCTTCTCCGTCCGAACCTCGTGCGATCTGTTCGACGCTAACATTTTGTCATCGATGTAGTCTTCGAGCAAGAGGAAGATCCGTCCTCAAGGTCGTTTTTCTCCGAAATCATTTCCTCCATCTCAGACGTTCGATTCTCCTATGACGGTCGTTACATTCTCTCTCGTGATTATCTGACGGTGAAGATTTGGGATATCAACATGGAGCGACAGCCCGTCAAGACGATTCCCATCCACGAGCATCTGCGTCCTCGGTTATGCGATACATATGAGAATGACAGCATCTTCGACAAGTTTGAGGTTGTCTTCTCAGGGGATGCCAAAAACGTCATGACTGGCAGCTACAACAACAATTTCATGATCTATCCTTCAGACCCCGACAAGGAAGTTGAGGTGGTGCTGCAGGCTGATAAGTCTGCCTTCAAGGCTAAGAAGGTTGGGGTACCGACACCCATCAATTCGTCCACCAGCCCAACCGCAACCAACGGTGGCAAGAAGGGAGGTTCCCGTGCTGGTAGTCCTGCTGCTGGAGCCGGAGGTCAGGGCCAAAGGATGCGCAAGGAAACCGATGCCGACCAGATTGACTTCAACAAGAAGATCCTCCATATGAGCTGGCATCCATTTGAGGATAGCATCGCGATTGCAGCAACGAACAACGTAAGTCCTTGGCGGCATGATGATTCTCTTCTCATCCCTGGAGTGTGGAGGTTGAGTGGGCTAACTCTTCAACAGCTATTTGTCTTCTCTGCGCTATAAGGATGAATAACAACCGGAGCCCTTGAGGGCTATGCCGAGTGAGGACACTCGTATTCGGACGAAGCACAGCAACACAGCCGGACGGTGTGGATCGAGACTATCGCCTCCTACAGCCTGGGGGACTGGGTTGGCAGGAAAAGGTGTCTAGGGCCCGCGTCGCAGCTGTGGCCTCTTGATACAATCGCCGTCTTTGCCAGACTTTCGAATTAAGAGGCCAACTCGACCAGCAGGAAAGAGTTTGCTGGGTACTCGGGACCATCGAAAAGTGCTTGGGGAAGAAGACGGAGGTGGAGGAACGCGTGGAAGATATGGAAGAAGCACTAGGAATAGATGGACCCGACCATCGTGTCACGTCGTCACGGTTATCAATGCCTCCCTGATTTCTATAGTAGAATTGGAGGCAACGAGATTCTCGCCTGTTTTGATTATATGATGACGTGTGACGGTAAGCCCAAGTACACGAGATAGAGTATCCGGGTGTCGCAAGTGTGCATTGCGTAGGTTTTTGCCATATCCTCCATACGTAACTACTAGTTAGGTAGCGGATATTTCACCTACCTTCCTTAGAGTATCCAGGAGCTAATCAAGGTTACTGCTACAATTTGACCATGATAGGACGGTGCGTCCAGCATGCGATTCGACAGCCATGCGGCGACGCGATGCCCAGATGCTGTCATTCGAAATTGGTCCTACGGCTGTGGTTTGTCTCGTTCCGCGAGATTTCGATATGTCAACATTATTCCCCGAGATAGATCTGGAGCAACTATCTACTACCCAACGACTCGCACTTATCTATGCAGGTAGGTGAAGGTGTGGATTGGCTGGCTTAAAGTACCTAGATTGGTTCTCAAGGGATCTCGAAGTTCCTGTCAGGTCCCGAGCCTACCTAGGACGGGGAAATCAAGCAAGGTACAGAACCTTACGAGAGGATCATCTGGCATGCTGAGGCCATTATTAGATACCCTACCAAGGTACCTAGGTAACGAAGGGTATGGATACACATCCGTGACGGAGGTACGGTAGCAAGCTTAGTGGGAGCAAGACAAGAGCAAGTGGAGCGGGGCATGTTGTTTGAGGTGGCCGCCCCAACCTGCAACCGTGGGCTCATCAACTTCAATGTACAACTCTGGAATAACCCATGACTACCCTGTCACTTGAGGTAGTAAGTAAAGTCTCCAACTTTGAGAGCATGGGGGAAAGCCTAGGTAGGTGCTTCAGCTGGATCCAATGTAAGGGAGCATAGCATTTATCAACCCCGAAGTGAACTTGATTAGAAGCTCCCAAGGTCAGATACAAGTGTCGTAAAGTAAGTAGGTAGCCCGGCATCCAAAGCACCCGAATCCCATGGTGACTGTCTCCGACCATAAAAAGACTCGAGACTGAGAGACTGAGAGACACAGACGTGGTCTTTGAAGTTTAGGGGCGCGAGCGGAGTTCCGATACAGCCCGGGCAGCTCAGATCCCAGTTGCGCCACTGTCATTGGCCGCCCTCGCCCTGATCTGTCCTCTGTAAGGTACCTCAAGGTAAGTTGCCTTACTCCCTACCTCGTACCTGCTTTCCGGCCCCAGCTGTAACGGCGTCCCAGTGTCTCGGACACGCTGCACGCTGCGCGCCGCACCTTTGCAATTATACTTTGAACCCCCCAAAAGTCTAGTCCAATCCTTTCAACTATTCGCACGCAGGCTCCGAACAGCCTCAATGTCCTCTCCGGCGACCACTCGACGACGCGGACAGCCGAAAGGCCTCTCATCGCCTCCCATGGAGAAGATGGATTCTCCTGCCCGGGGTTACGATGACGAGAAGACGGCCGATCAAGCCGCCAATGGTATGGCCATGAATAGACACGCTTCTAGCGAAAAGTCCCTGCAGACTGCTGGTCGAATAGTCGCCGGTCTCTTTTCCCAATGGATCACCGTTGGCGTTATGCTTGGCCTCATCTTTGGCGGCTGCTGCTCCAATGTTGGTGAACCTATACTCAAACGACCGTATCAGAGCTACAGACATGCTGACCTCGCTGCGTAAAGGTGTATGCCTTGGAAGCAATCATCAAGTAAGCGCTGCTTCTATACTCCGGCGTTGCCGCTCCTGAACACCAAATTGCTGGATTTTTGCCGTTGCTAATCGTTCCCTCTTCCTCCAGGGTCGAACCTGCAAGTGGTATGTCACCATGATCCCCGCGATCTATACTTCCTCCTGACGAGCTCCCGCGTGTACAGGAACCCTCTTGACATTTGTCCAATTCCTCTTCGTGGCTGTCACCGGATACTTTTCCCAATTCGATCGATCGAGACCACCGTTCTTCTTGCAGCAGAACAAGGTCCCGATACGCCGCTGGATCATCAATATTGTCCTGTTCTTCAGCATTAATGTGTTGAACAACCATGCCTTCAGCTATGACATATCCGTTCCTGTGCATATCATTCTTCGGTCTGGTGGAAGCATTACAACCATGGTCGCTGGGTCTCTTTATGGGAAAAAGTACTCGCGCATACAGATCGTGGCTGTCGTTCTCCTGACATTCGGTGTCATCACCGCAGCGTGGTCGGACTCACAGTCAAAGGTACGCAAGCTATGCCCAAATCCTGACGGGTTCTCTCGTTCTAACCGCAATTCAGACCTCTTCAAAGGCAACCGAGGGGAGTGACAAGCCCGCTTTTGGGACGGGCCTCGTTGTGCTGTTCGTGGCGCAGGTCCTCTCCGCCATCATGGGTCTCTACACTGAAGAGACGTACAAACAATACGGTCCCCATTGGCGAGAGAATCTCTTCTACTCACACCTTTTGTCACTACCGCTCTTCTTGCCGTTTGCGCCATCACTGATCCGCCAATTCCGAAAACTAGCAAACAGTCCGCCTCTTTCGCTACCCATGGCACAACTTCCCGGCCTTGGCCTCAATGGGGACGTTGGAGATGGTCTCTCCAAACTCCAAATTCCGAGCCAACTTGCTTATCTGGTGACAAACGTCGTTACTCAGTACGCATGTATCCGGGGTGTAAACTTGCTCGCTGCCGTGTCCTCAGCATTGACTGTTACCATCGTCTTGAACATTCGCAAGTTGGTCAGTCTACTTTTGAGCATATGGCTTTTCGGGAATCGCTTGGCCGTGGGGACTCTGGTCGGGGCAATCATCGTGTTTGGGGCTGGAGGCCTATACTCATTGGATTCGAGAGCCAAGACCTCTAGGGTGCAAAAGAATGTGGGTGCAAAGTAGAGCCAGAGATTTTAGACAGCCACTGGACGAACTTACATATCCGATCCAGAGTTAGAAAACCCTTCCAAGGGACTTTCAGACATCCATATCTCTATGGTCGTGTCAAACAGCAGGTGGCTGTTTTGGGAACCAGCATGGTTGATGCTTGTACCTCTCGATAGTGACTTACTTACATTACGACTGCAACCTTTGACTCATCCGGCGAGCTTCGTGACTTGGTTATGCACTATTGAATGGTAACAGCCTAGACAGGCAGGGTAGATGCCCGTAAGTGAAAGACATGACCGGTGCCATAATATCTTACCTGAGGGCCCAGAGACGTAAGGTAGGCATAACAGGTACCTTACCTTATATGATAGCATACCTTATCACTGTGGTCACGGTCAGTGGCACCTTACTGCGTAGGACCCCGCCGCGGTCGCAAGTCGGAGGTCGGAGCCAACCGCTACCCCTCCACCACCCGCTTAGGTATTCATTGTCTTCTGGTCCTTATCCCACTTTGGAGTGCTAGTGCATGCGATTACCCGATACTGCGATAGCTCCTGCATCATAATTCTGCCGTCGTCTCTGGAGAATTACTGGATCTCTGTTTTCTTTTTTCTTTTCTTGGGGGAAGGGCTCTACAACACTCCACGGTAGGGTTCAACACGCTTCTCAAAATGGCTGGTATGTACTCTTCGAAGCCTCTTCCCCCAAACGGATATGGTAGTTTCGATTCACGCTGGTAAGCTACCCCTCATTCCTCATGGAAGGCCGAGTTCTTCTCCCAACCCTATAGCGTATAGCTTCGTGCTTCGTATTGTGCTGACAGTTTGCCGTAATCAGACACAAGCCTTGATGAACCAAAAAGACCCGACGTCCGCCTCAACCTCCCCCAAAAGAGGCCCCGCGTTCTCGCTCCACGATGGTGACACCGACTCTGACGGCGAATTGGGTGCGCTGGACTCCCGAGGCGACAATAGCTCTGAGGGGTCAGGAGGGCAAACTCCCGGCGATGCACCCGCGTCAGATGCGAACCCTTTGTCACCCCATGGCCAGGATCACGATGGAGCGAGCCTGCAAGACGGCATGCTTCCTCGCGATCTTCCCACAAGGACCGCCTTTTACGACCCTGTTGCGGACCGCCAGATGAGCCAGACCGACGCCAAACTCTTTTACCAGCGTAGCCAGGTTGGCCAGCTGAAGACGGGTAGTGGTGTGTGGTCCCAAGGCCATGCGACGCCCCACGGAAGCCCAGTCATTGTCGGCTCTGAGCATCGTGATGTTCCTGCCGGCACTCGAAATCTCGACCATCCAATGGACTCATCTCCCCTGGGTAAAGCACATGGCCAAGTGAGAGGGAAAGCTCCAGCACACGAAGAAATGATGCTGCCGGAACCGACTCAGCTGCAGCAGCAGCAGCAAGCTGCCAGTGCAGAGCACTTCTCACCTCCACGGAACCACCCTGTCCATGAAGACGACCCCAGGTTTCCGAACAGTGAATTCAACAATCTGGGCCTGGGCCACGAAACTGGCCCTAGTGTTAGCGCTACAAACCAGCCTGCTACCCTTGGTGTAGCTGCCTTCTCAGACACAGATCCACACATCACGGCTGAGCTCAGTGCCATCTCGAAGAATATTCAGAGCATCATGGACCTACGAGAGAGATACGTCGGGCTCTCTCTCCAAAGACCTGATGATAATCCTAGGGATGATCCTACTTGGTCGATTTACCCACCTCCTCCGCAGCCAGCTTGGGGAGCCGAGCACGCAAGAGCTGTGGCTTCTGCCGAGCAAACCACCAGCAACGCCAATAGCCTGAACGGCAGCATGGTCCTGCCTTCATCTGCCACGGCAGCAAGTGACCACACAAGCCGTCGGGCACAGGATTCCGAGGCTAAGCCCACATCGAAGAAGCGGAAGCCTGGTCAAGATATTGGAGAAGACTTCGATATGCAGGACCTGCTCCCAGTCCCCTCCGCCGACAAGATGACGTTCAAGCTTGACGATAGTGGTGTCTACCAAGTATTCGATGATGCAGAGTCAGAGGCTAGAGGAAATCCAGTCATTCGGGTTCCTACTATCCGAGAGTTTTACATGGACCTGGATCAAATTCTGAGCATTTCCTCAGACGGACCAAGCAAGAGTTTTGCATTCCGTCGACTTCAGTATCTCGAAGGCAAATTCAATCTTTACGCCCTTCTCAACGAGTACCAGGAGACTGCGGACAGCAAGAAAGTCCCCCACAGAGACTTTTACAACGTGCGCAAGGTTGACACCCACGTTCACCACTCTGCTTGCATGAACCAGAAACATCTCCTGCGTTTCATCAAGAGCAAGATGAAGAAGTGTCCAGACGAGGTTGTGCTTTTCCGCGACGACAGGCATCTAACCCTAGCGGAGGTGTTCCAGAGTATCAACCTCACCGCATATGACCTTTCCATTGACACTCTAGATATGCATGTAAGTTCTTGTCCTGAAGCGTGCCTCTCCCTCCATACGTTCTGAACGTTAACTAATACCTATCCAAAGGCGCACACGGATTCGTTCCACAGATTTGATAAGTTCAATCTCAAGTACAACCCAATTGGCGAATCCCGGCTCCGCACGATCTTCCTCAAGACAGACAACTTTATCAATGGCCGCTATCTGGCAGAAATCACCAAAGAGGTCATTGCTGATCTTGAATCGAGCAAATACCAGATGGTCGAATGGCGCATCTCCATTTACGGCAAGTCCCTTGACGAATGGGATAAGCTAGCCGCCTGGGTTGTTGACAACAAGCTATTCTCCCACAACGTACGATGGCTCATTCAGATCCCTCGTTTGTACGATGTGTACAAGGCCAGCGGGCTCATGGACACTTTCGAACAGGTGGTCAAGAATGTCTTTGAGCCCCTGTTCGAAGTCTCAAGAGATCCCTCGAGCCATCCGAAGCTGCATATCTTCCTGCAGAGGGTGATTGGGTTCGACAGTGTCGACGACGAGAGCAAAATTGAGCGGCGCCTGTTCAAGAAGTTCCCCGTGCCTAAGGTTTGGGACTCGAAGCAAAACCCTCCCTACAGTTACTGGCTTTACTATCTGTTCTCCAATATGTCATCGCTCAACGCACTGCGCCAACGTCGGGGTTTCAACACGTTTGTACTGCGACCACACTGTGGTGAGGCTGGTGACAGCGAGCATCTGGCTGTGGCTCTCCTTTGTTGTCACAGCATCAGCCATGGTCTACTACTACGCAAGGTTCCGCTCTTGCAGTACATCTTCTATCTTGAACAGATTGGCATCGCCATGTCGCCGCTGAGTAACAACGCTCTATTCCTTGCTTATGAGAGGAACCCGTTCTACCAGTACTTCCGTCGGGGTCTCAATGTCTCGTTGTCGACGGACGATCCACTTCAGTTCGCTTTTACGAAGGAGCCATTGATGGAGGAGTACGCCGTGGCAGCCCAGATCTACAAGCTAAGCCCTGTGGACATGTGTGAACTTGCAAAGAATTCAGTCAAGCAGAGCGGCTTCGAAAGTGCGATCAAGGAGCAGTGGCTTGGACCCAATTTCAAGCTTCCGGGCAAGGCAGGCAATGCCATGGTGAAAACCAACGTGCCTGATCGCAGAGAAGAATTCAGATACCAGACCCTTAGAGAGGAACATGACATGTAAGCATCATGGCGGCGGAACTCTGACCAGGATCCAGGAGCATGCTAACGAGTGGTAGGCTTCACAAGTACATCAACTACGGTGCCAATGAAACCCCTGACTCGGCCGTCACAGCTGACCAGCAGAGTGTGGCTCAAAGCATCATCGGTGGGCACCACCCAGCGGTGCAACGCGAGCCGGCCAGCGCGGGTGTTGACAGTGCCCCGGGTAACGGAGGTGGCACGCAGACGGCCGTCGTGGGAGGATCCAACAGCGCAGCAGTCCTCGAAGAGGATGTAGTTGCTTCCCCTGCCAGTCTCGCACCTTCCGGAGAAGCATCGTGGTCGACTGACGGCCACACCTCGGGACGAGATCCCAAACTGTTTCCTGGGGTCGTCAGCCGGGGTAGAACAGGGAGCAGTCAGTGAGGTGGCTGGCTGGGCTGGCATAGTGAAAAGGATGGGGAAAACAACCTGAATCCATCACGGCGGATTGCAGATCGGAGACAAGGCTAACGGAAAGCATTGGCTAATGCATTAAGATACCTGGATACAAGGCATTTCTACGGATATTCACGAACCCATTCATGTGTGCGATAGTGAGTAATTTGATTGCTTGCTCACACGGTGAGCTGCCCTGCAGAGCGTTTCGATCTTCGGCCCACAATGGTATGAACCTCATGAACCCGGAATATCCGTCTCTGACAAGACCATGGGACAGATGTTCAAATCATGAACCGTTCTCTTATGACAGTGTCCCATATCGGGCAGCGAACTACGGTGGAGAGCCACTTGGGCCGCAAATATGAGGTGCACTTGAGTTTAGGGTGCCTAGAAGCGTAACACCAAGCACGGCACGTTCCAATTTGAGGAAGGGTGCTGTGGGATGCAAACATTCTCATGGAAAGGTTGGTACTGCGTAGAAATACATCAAAATGAGGAAACATGAAATGAGGAAGTTCATTAATATCTTTCTGCGAGAGAATACGGATAGAGAGCACCTAGACATGCTGAGGAACGTGCGCGCCAACCTGACGCATGACGCATTTGTAAGGTGTGTGTGTGAGTGTGTATGTATATGCATATACCCGTGTTTTCGAGTCTTCATGCATGGGTGAACTGCCAGGTACCTGCCAGGTTTCTAACAATGACGGCAGCAGTGATGGATAACGGAGGCCCCCACCAGCATCGCCTGCCACCCTGCTTATGTGCAAAGTACCTCAAGGTATCTTCATCTTCCACCCTCTCCAAAGCGCTAATCGCAGCCCAGCTCAAGTAACCATTGTCATGCTCCACACCGGGCCAGTCTCACTCAGCATACACAGTAATTAAGGTACCGGTTCCAAGCCCAGCTCCTCCGGTTCCTAGTGCCCATTGATCACAGCCACGACACCTCCACCATCATCGCATATGGCAATAATAATGCCTAACGGATAACCGCAACTACCTGAGCACCCGCTACGATTATCACGTCTCCATCTTCCAATCCACCATCTACTTTCCACCGTCACGCCTTTGCTCGGTCAAGATATTTCTCCAACCACCATTCTGCCTATCATATCACATCAACACTCAATTTCCTTGGTACTGCACGAGCTGCGAAATCCCTCCAGCCGCGGTTATCGCCAGTCAAGCTCAACTCGGCCGTCGACCATCATCCGTACCCACGAACCCACGAGCTGATGCGATCGCGATACCGGACATACTTGCCGAGTGCGTACTAAACTGCGACCTCATGACTTGTAA